AGCCTTTTTAGGTGAAATAATTTTTATTCCCATGGTTTTATATTCCTTTTCTTTTAGACAAAATGGATGTTTCTTCTGTTATTATTATTTGTTTTCAATTCAACGAGTCATGACACACCGCTGATGACATCAACTTTTGGATCCATCAACAGCGGATCCTAAATAACCAGAAAATATTGTCGATTTGTTTACGGATTATGGTTTATTATACAATGTTTTGTTTTGGGACCCAATTACTTTTGTTACATTTGACCAAACAAAGTCCGAATGATTAATTGTTCCTATTTGTTAATCAAAGGCAATATGCTGAAGTGGATCATATCTACATTTTCTCTCCTTTATTCCTTTACCATATTTTTTTCAATAAATAATTAAAAGTATTTTTTTAATTTCTAGATAGGAGGTGCAGGTGGGACCGGAAGTTTTTACTTTTTTATATAGGTTTGTGTTTGTAATAAAAAATAAATTAAAGTACGAAATTGGGGGATTGAGAAGGTTGGTCGTGGGTTTTTGGGGTATGGGACATGTTAACTTGTTGAACGGATGTTGGTCTTTTGAATTTTTTTTTAGGTTTGATCATTCATGTTTTCCAACACTTTATGTTTTTCAAATAAACAAATGATTGAGCTCTTGTTAAAAAAATGCATCGACTTTAGTTTTTATGAAGAAGAAAAAAAAACAATTAACTCCTTTCATTAATAAAAAAATAATAGAATGAGTGTTGTTTTTCTTCATAATCAAATTAATTTTTTATAATGGTTATTGACGTTGTTGATGTATAATAGGTGATGTAAGGATTTATGGTGGTTTAAATGATAGAAAATGAAGTGATTAAGTTTATGGTTTATAATTTATCTCTTCTGGTTTGATCGAAAAGTCATTAATTAATGATCTTATAAAAGTATGTAATCTAAATTGTTCTCTCCCTTTATCTCAGTTGGATGCTTAATTTATAATATACTTTTAGTATTTACCTATTTGGTGATCATGTGGTTGTCACATGGTTAGATTTCTTTAGAGTGTTAATACAATTTGTTAGTCCATATGTGCTCTTTGTTATTGAGTTTTGTGGATGACTTTGAAAGAGAATTTCTTAAGAGTGTTGATGCAATTTAGAATTTTCATTGTTAAACTTCTATTTCTGTAGTTTTTATAGAAGCAAGTAATTTATATATTTTAATACTTTTACATAATATTTTTTGTGTTATTAATTAGAGGAATCATTGTTCCCAAAAGAAAAGTCCAAATAAGGTGAGCATTGGATAATATAATTGTATATGAAAATTGAAAAGTCTTGAGTTTTTTAATTACGTATAATTTATGATACAAATAAATGGGTCCATGGGCATTAACAATGCCCTATAAATGCCATGGTGAATAGGGAGGGAATGTTTCATTCTATTCTTAATGATGTTAGATGGATACAACTTGGACGGTCCAATGCCATCAAAAGTCTAAACAAATGAAAATGAATTTAGAAGGAATAATTGTTTCAAGTATTAAATTCGGAAAGGAAAATAAAATATAAGTGGGTTCTACTAAGAAAATAAAGCGGGAAATTGTTCCAATCAGTTGAGGAATTAAATCAAGATAAATTTGAGTTCTTTTAACATAATAATTTTTTACCCTCCAATGTTATCGATTAATTGTATTAATTCTTAAAATTTTATTATATTTCTTCTGATATTTATTTCTTTATTATTTTTATCAGATTTGACCAAAATATAACAAAACAATAATAACGTTGTTAAACTGAAATTACTTATTTTGTTTTATAGATTTTAAAATTTTATATATTTGTATTTACTCGTATTATTTTCCTTATGTTTTGTATATATTAAAAATGAAATAAACCCACCCTTGGCATCGCAAAAGAAAAATCTCTAACACATGTTTAATAATTTGCTTGGTCGCTATTGTTATCTTTTTCATGATTTAGTATACTACTCCCCTGGCCTACGATGTAACAATCTATGGTCAGTTGTAGTATACTTTTAGATTGAAAGTGATAATGACATTTTCCCCAATATAGGTCCAAGATATTTGATTATACATCAACGGCTGATGGAATCTTCTTTTCTTTTATGTTTACTATTTTATAAAATGACTTGTTTAGATAACAGCTTCCAAAGCAATTAAGCTATATAGATATACTTTTAATCATTCATTTAATCCGTTAAAATATTTTCCAGTTAAAATTTTAAATATGATTATTAATTCAATCATTACATATAAAAAAATATAAGTTTAAATCGTTAATTTAGGACCACGATGATGTAATAAAATTATATTCTCATTAACATAGGATTGAGCTAAAAAAAAATAAAATATTATTGTTGAATTATACACACTTTGAGAAATAATTAAAGACAACAATATCAGCAGCGACCTCCATTCACAATTTTTAAAGCAAATAAAGGCTGAAATTCATTAAGGAAAATAGACCCATAGAGCCTAGTTACCCTCCTTGACAAACATTGTACATTGATGGTGAGAAAGATAGGGGATGAGTTTGCTTTGCTTCCCTCCACTATAGGATTCCTTCCCACCATAGGGCATAGAGTACCTTTTAATCCCCTAGAAGAAGGAAAATTTAGTACTTTTATACAAATAAACAAACATACATACAATCTTCCTCAAAACCATATCAACTTGGCATTTATAGTAATGTAATTCTAGTACCTAGTGCTTTTACGGGTTGGGCTCTATAAAGAAAAAGGGTATCAACTGAAAGGTATGTAGGGGGGCATACTCTCCCTTTTCATGATTATGGTTTTGATTTTGTAGTTTCCTTTCCTTTATGCGATGCCATATACGGACCTTAGCTCATCATGTGCCAAGTGGGCGCATGCCACATGTTTGTAAAATCTAGTGGTTTCATGAATCATGTTGAGTTAAATATACCTATATCCAATTCAACTATACATGGATTTATTTATCAGTAGAAGCCATACTTGTACAGATAATTGAAACGGTAATTCTTTGGCCATTGACATTAATGGAAACGGTAATTCTTTGGCCATTGACATTAATGGACACGCCGTTTTCATTTATATTATCTTATTTGGATCGGGTCTTTTTCCTGAGCTGTTACGGGGTGAGTGTTCTTTCACGCCTCACAATTATGGATCATTAGTGTGGGCGGGGGGGGGGGTGTATTTAATGTTGATTATGGTTTGAGTTGGAGAAGGGGGACCATTAAGTGTTATGGTTTCGGCTTCTGGTCCAGGAAAGGGTGAGAGAATAACTTTTGATGGGTAGGTGATCTTTACAGTTAGAACTTGTGTGCAGAATTTCAAGGCAAAGCTAATATAGATTGATTGGAGGTGGGGCGGGGGCAGTTCTAAAGCATTGCGGCTGCCTTGGTGGCCTAATGCCAGGCTAAGGGGGCGGCCTTTCAACTTCAAACCTGCAGGTAATCATGTTCAGTAAAATCTCATCAATAAAGTTGAATAAAAATCTTGTGATTTTCAATAACTCATACTGCATTCATGACGATGTTGCTAAGTTAACATTTTATAACAACGTTTCATTTATGTAATATAAGATTATAGAAATTGTTTTATTTTTCAATTTAATTTTAATATAAAAAATACAGTGCTTGATTATCTAAATACATATTTTTATCAAATCTATATCCAATACCAAAATCAATATCTCTTTACTTCTTTAAATTTATTTTAACTCTAAAATATATTTATACTTTCAATTCCTCGTTATTATAGTCTCCAACATAAAATTGTTTAATTCTATTTATATTTTTAAAATATTTCATATGTGTATTAGATAATACGAAACAAACAACTTTATGTATTTAAGTCATTTTTCCTGATAATTATTGGTATTTTTTTAAAATTTAATTTGGTTTTAAGTGGGTTGGGAGACTAATTGGCTGCCTGTTATCTGAATTTGGTGCAACAAAATTAAACTTTTGTTGTAAAAACTAAAACAGGCCTGGTGGCATTCCAATCCATCATTATTGTTAAGGTCCATTAATGATCAATTGCTCCCAATTTCAGCCTGTACTGGGTTAAACCCTTTGCATTAAGGTTTTTGGATGATTATATTTTTTTTAATTAAAATTACATAAATATATTTTGTTTTAGAAGTTTCATGTCTGTGGCATGAGAAGCTGAGCAAGCCAAAGCCTATTTCCTAATGCAAATTTGTATTGTGGGGGGGAAATAAAATGGACTTGTTCTTGGAAGCACTAAAAGATTCATGGGCAATTTGAATCAATTCTCCATCATGAGATACAAAGCTTCGTAACTAAGCAACACTGTGTACGTTCATCACTCTATATTCCAAGACACTCAAATGCAACCAAGGATGCAAATATAATATAAAGGGAATCCGATACCAATTTCCCAACCCACAATTGCAATAAATTAACAAAAACTTGTCCATTTCTCTAGTTTTTATGCCTTTAATTTTATTTTCCTATGTTATTTACTTTCTCCTGTGTGTGTTCATCAACCTTCACCTTTCACTTTTAAACCCTTTCACTTTCACTTTCACTGATGTTTGTATAAAAATGAAGCCTTTGGATCTAAACATCGTTCCATTTTCTTTTTTCGATTTTTAGAAGAAAGAAGAAGAATTTAAAGTACGCTTTTTCTTGCTTTTGTCTCTTTTTAGAAACTTTTCCATTTCCTTTCCTCTCTTGTACTTCAACCACCCTTCCCACTCTTAACTTTCCCTCGTTTTCTTACGTTTGACTCTCCTTCCCCGGAAATTTTTTCCAAATACCCAGAAAAGTTTAAGTATACTTGCTTTTGTCGTTAACTTTAACTGTTCACGGCGGGATATATGATTTCTCATCTCTCTCTTAACTCTTTATCTTAGTCTATTTTTATAATTTTGCTAAAAAGCTCCAATTAGTTGTTTGTTTGTTTTTTTTTTTTGTTGAGGAAAACTGTGTATATCTGACGGTAGTATGATTGATTGGTGTAATTGTTTTTTTTTTGTCCCCAGGGTTTTTTCTCTTACATGTACTTGTACCTGTGGCGTACAAATGGAGAACAAAGATGGTTACGTGGAGTTAATGTTTAAGTTTAACCATGACTTGCTAACTAGCATGTGCGGAACCCTACTCACCCTTCTCGTTTCCTCAGCTACGCATCAAGCTCTTCTTTCTTCGCCTCAAGTAAGGTTTTGTTTTTACTAATTACGGATTAAGTCCTCTTAAGTTAACATAGTTTTTTTTCTTCTTTTTATGTGACTATGACATAGTTTTTCTTTTTCTTTATGTGATTATGTCTCTAACTTATTTAATTTATATTTTTTTATTAACTTGCGCCGATGTGTAAAATTAAATTTATAATAAATTGACATAACTTGCATTGTTTGAAAAGGTGTGAATTCAAGTACACTTGAATATTATTTTCTTATTCATAATGAGATAAAATTTGAATAATTTTTTAACATATACTATCTTGAATTCATCTAAGATAAATTAATTTTTTTTGAATGATTTTAAATGTTATTTAAAAAAAGCTAAATATTATAGGGAAAAAAACTCCTTTCAAAATAAGAAAAAGCATCCTTCCACGTTTAGAAATTTTATCGAAAATAATACATTCATTATGGATCGAACATCTCATCGTTAATACGTTTATATGAAATAAACAGAGTTGATTTTTTATGGACAAAATTAACTCAAGCTGAATTAAGAGAAATTGCTTTAAAACTTTAAGAAGTACTCTCTTTGTGGATATTTGACTGTAGTACACTACACATGATAAATTTGTAATAAATATATATAATGCATGAGATGATTTTTGAGGCTGGGTTTGGATGAAAGGTTAACCCGCCCAGTTAGTCATCAAAGCAAGAAGAAACTCACAATGGACGTCCCAGAAAACATGGAGTCTTGTTTTGAATCTTTGATGGGTTTGTCATTTTATTTCAGTATTTTGATTTCCATTTCTCTTGGTGGAATTGTAAAGCATGTATAATAGTTTCAAAATCTGGTTCAGCTGCTGATAGTAACTCAACAAGGTGAAAACCAAGAAAGTCATCTGGGTGGACACAATCTGAAGTAGTCGATGCTGAGGATGGAGATGATGTTCATGGTGGATATGGAGAAGGGGATGCTGATGATGAAGAAAAAGACCCTTCTGATGGTGATGATCATGGGAACATTTCTAATGACCCAAATGGCAACTCCAACGAGGGAGCTGAAGTGGGAGAGGCTAATGGGGATGGAGATGATGAAGGCGGCGAAAATGGTGAGGATGATGAGCAGGAAGACGATGATGACAATAGTGATGGCAATGACAATGAAGTCGACACTGAAGATGAAGAAAAAGAAACTTTAGAAGATGAAGAGCCTGAAGACACGGAAGAATCGATTCAGCCACCAAAGAAGAGGAAGAAGTGATTATTTATAAAGTTTTCAGACTTCCTTTTTCACTTCCTTTTTCATTGGCTCAATAATTCAGACCCGGTTGTCTAAAGATTTAACAACAGTTTTTAACTTTGTGGTACAAGTCACAAAGAGTTAATGACTCCTATCAATATATGCTTCCTTAGAAATCTTTGAACCTTAATAGTTTTGCGTTAGCCTAAAATACTATTATCAAAGTTTTCTGCTTATATTTGAAAGGCACAAGTTCATACATTTTAGACTAATAGCCCCTGGAAATTGATATTATTCAAATATTGCTTAATTACAAAATCAAGGAATATCCAACATTACAAGGTATAAAGAGAAAGCTCTTAGTAAGCAATATATGAAGCAGTGTATCATATGATTACCTGTAATTCATATAAAATCTGGTTTTTAAAAACAAAGGACTATTACAGGATCAATCTCACAAGGAGACCATCGGCACCTCTCCATGATTGTTGTACATTCACATCTAGATACTGTATTCTTCTATTGCTAATATTTGTAGTTAGGTAACATTGGTTCAATGCTTTCAGATACGGGCAGTATTACGTCTCAAGACATGAACTATTTGATCTAATTCATTCTATCTTGCAGAAAAGTTAACCCAAAATTCAGAGCTATCACTCATGTATTTAGATTATCAAGCAAGTCAGGCATTAAAGATAATCATTTCAGGACAAAGAAATATATGTAAAGCTATTGAAAGTACGACTTAACTCGATGTCACATGAATTTTTCTCCACGATCTTTATCAACTCCTCCAACTTTTGGATTATCTTTGGATTCATCAAATCTCTAGCTTCCCTTAAGAGAGTGCCTTCTTGGCTGAAATTATAAGCATCCACCACCGCTCTCATCATGGTATGCAGCTTCTCCGGAGTTCTAAGATTTCATTAGGATGAGTTAAACAAAGGAACATAGTTATCCAACAAGGAGGATAATATAAAATTTAAACAATGTTCTGCTTATGTAAACGGCAGGAAACCCAACTTATTAACACCATCCGTTTTAGGGGTAGGTACCAACCCAACCCATGATTTGCACCTGAATATTTGAGTCATTCCACATATGCCCTTAGAAAGGACAAAATTTAAGAACTTTCACAAAGTGGAAATTATAAAAAGAAGCGCACAGAAGGCTGAAACCCTGACTTGGAAGATTAAGCCAATGCATTGTAAAGCCTAATTCCTAGATGGTACTAATTTCTGAAAAAAAGAAAAGTCAGAGACAGACATACGTGTAAAGGTTGTCCACGTCCTTCTCTTCAAGTTCTTCTCCAGGTGTAAACGCATCATTCAGTGCACACAGTCGCTCCTCAGGATCCTCAATTGTAAGAAGATACTTTACAATCCTAATCTCTTTCGGTAGAAGCCGCTGTAGGTTACCTCTAGCAGTCATATACAAGTGGTACAATATGTCTTTTACCTGCAATTGAGAAAATAAGTTTCATAAGATATTTTAAAGCAATGCTCCAAGGCATGCTAATTTATCATAACATTAATTTTGTCCAAAACTGTGGGATACAAGTGCTCAAATGAACTATCCTATAAAAAATTAAATGCATAAAAGGCCCTAGAACTTCCAAAATTCATCAATAGTTTTCTATACAGACATTTTTACAGAGCACAAAAGAGAAAATAAAAAGAACATTAACAGGGAAAAGATCCATAATTCAGGCAGCCAATATTGCTTTTCATAACTATACATCAGTTGGTTTCCAACAAATGACTATATGATTCCACCTCCTGAAACCAATTAAGCTTTTTATCAATCTCCCATTTCTTTAAAATAGACTGAAGAAAAAAAAACTCAAATTATTGGTCCATTGGAGAATTTTATTCTCCGAATATGATCAATCATTCCATTAAATCTATAGGGTTCTTTGTGCAGTCACCAAGTAATAAAACAACCCATCTTACGATTATATACAGCAGGAGGGTTTTTCCTTCCTGAAATCAGCAACAATACCTCATCTTTTGTCATGTTAGATTCATTGGCAGCTGACCAAGCTTTAGTGATCATTAGCACTAATGCTGAATCAAGTTGATTTTTCTCAGCCAAACTATCAATCTTTCGGCAAGCAACATCTAGAGAAGGGGAATTGATAATATCGTGGAACTTCAACTCTGCTGCATTGATTGCCTCAATGTTTTCAGCTGTAGTATCATAAGCTTGTACAGCAGCCAAGCAAGTATTCCCAAGCTTTGCCAGAGCTGTCATATATAAACAATAAATGAAGGAACAAGATTTGGAAGGCATAAGGTAACAACTACATGAACTAAATGTTCTGATCTCAGGCCATAAAGCCCACCATACAGCTTACTTTCAGGCATACAAATTTATACTGGCACACGGTAAAAATTTGTAATACTAATTATCAATATAGTTTTGACAATTAAATGATTCGATCACACTGCCTTACCATTTTGTTCAGTTGGATTGTCATAATATGATTCTGCTACAGTATGGATATGCACAAAGAATTCTTTCGTAAAATCTTTACGACGTCTAGCAACAATTTCATTAATCTCCGATGGAGCAGACTTTATCACTTCAAGAAGTTCATTGTGTCTTTGCATATCTTCATCAATCTGTATAAAAAGAAACACCAAGACATCAGCACCAACTTGAAAATAAGAGCAGTATGCATCAGACATGCCTTGATTATTTAGTGTTGCAAATATATCTCTGTAGAATTAGCATGCCATCCAAAGGGTATAAGAAGTTTGATTCCTAGGAATCTTCACTGCACATGTATCTGCTCAGCATGTGGGCATTCTAGAAGCAGGTAGATTTCTCTCCATATAAGTCCAAGTGTATGGAGGGCGTTAAGCAGCCACACAATTCTCAAGATACAATATCTCACAAAAAACTGATATGCTTGAAAGGGATCATTATAAATCAAATAACCGACCTCTTTCAATTTCCTTCCAAGTCGAAGAAGCTTATGCTTCATTCCAGGATCACCTTCAATGTAAGCTCGATCCTGACAACGTTGAAAGAAATGAAGCCGGATGTTGTTCCATACCTTACTAAAAGCAATTAATCTTCTCCAATCCATTGGTGTGGGCTTGTCAACCAAGAAAACCTCAATTAACTTGTCACAAACTCTGATCATTTTATTGACATCCGACCCCTCAACACTAATTTTATCACTCTCACTTTCCCCATCTCTGGTGACCTCTTCACTGATAGGCAAGGACTCGGAAGAATCCGGGCCTGAAACCTTCTTTTCATCACAATTATCTGACACCACAGTTTTATCACCAACAGAAGCAGCAAGAGAAAACTGCCGCCTCCATCTCACCTGATTAACACCCAATGCAGGAAAACCTGCTATTTAATGAGAACTATCAGTTTAAGGCAAATGTCCTAACAAACAATGCTTTCCCAAATCACCATCTGACAAAATGTTCCCAATTTCCTACTTGAAAAACAAACAACCAAAAAACATCGACCTAATACCCAATCATTATAGAATACTTCAATTTAACACTTAATTATTATCATTATTGTATGCGTTTCCAGGTTGAACCACCATTAACGCATAACAAGGCGGGAAAGTGAGAGAAAAACAGTGAAGAAAACAATAAATCAATAAACTTCATTTGCAAATTACCAAGAAAAAAAGAGTAACTTACTTGATAAGTTTGAAGAAGAACAACGAATCCGATATGAATTTGAACTTTTACCGGAAGAAAATAAAGCTAAAGAAGATCCATAACTTGAAGCATTAGAATATTTTGAACTCACTGGAAAAATGGAAAAAGCTTGAAAACTTGAACAAGCCAATTCCATGGAAAAAAGATTAACGGGGAGAAATTTATGAAGGTTTTGGGAGGGTTCTGGAATAAGGTTTTAGACAGGCAAAAACACGGGTGATATTTTAAAGAGTTTGCTGTGTCGCAACTTGCAAGCTCTAAATTTTGGTGCTACAAATACGATGTTGTTTTCCAGCTTAGCGGCAAAAAGGTCTTTTTAGTTGATCAAGTTTTTGAAACCATATGATTTAACATAAACAACGAGAGCTGAAAGTTTGGAAATTGGATTTTGTTTTTTTTTCGCGGGAATTTCTGAGGAAGGCAAAAGATTTAGCCAATGCTTTCTTTGACGGTGATTTCACCGCAACTAACACTCTTTCAATGGCCTTCCTTTTCCACCATTCAAAGTCCATCATTGCATTATTCGACTTCCAAAATCGAGTCCAAGCTAAGGAACGCCAAAAATCAACCCCAATTTTCTTGTTTTGCAACCAAAGATTCTCTTTTTTTTATCCGAATTCGATATTTTAACCAGCATCTCAACTTCCCATGAAAACCCAGATGCTGTTTTCGAGGACATAAGTCCACCGTCTGTTAGTCGAAGTGTCGGTTCTGATGAGCTGGCGGCTTTGCTTCAATCTTGTACTAATGGCAGACAAGTTAGGATAGTCCATGCGATTGTTTTGAAGTGTTTAAAGAACCGGGTGACCTATGTTGAGAATAATTTGATAAGCTTGTATATGAGATTCGGGAAGTTAGCGGAAGCTCGAATGGTGTTTGATAAAATGGCTGAAAGAAATGTCGTCAGTTGGACGGCAATGATTAATGGGTGCTTGAAATTGGGTTTCGATGATGAAGCTTTGAGGTTGTTTAGGGATTTGATCTCAAGTGGGGTTCAAGTGAATGCCAAGATGTCTGTTTGTGTGATGAATTTGTGTAATAGGAGGGCGGATTTTGAGTTAGGGAGACAAATTCATGGGTGTATCTTGAAAGCAAATTTGAGGAACTTGATTGTGGATAGTGCTGTTGTTTATTTTTATACACAATGTGGGGAGTTGTCGAAGGCTTTTGGGGCATTTCATGGGATGGCAGAGAAGGATGTGGTTTGTTGGACGGCTATGATAACTGCTTGCTCCCAACAAGGATATGGGGAGGAGGCTTTCTCAGTGTTTTCGAGAATGCTAAGCGATGGTTTTTGGCCCAATGAGTTTGCTGTTTGCAGTGTTTTGAAGACTTGTGGAGAGCAAAAGGCATTGAGATCGGGTAGACAATTGCATGGTGCTATAATAAAAAGAACTTAAAAAATGATGTTTTTGTAGGGACATCTCTTGTGGATATGTATGCAAAATGTGGGGAGATTTTGGATGCTAAGATTGTGTTTGATGGTATGAGTAGTAGAAATACAGTTACATGGACTTCCATTCTAGCCGGTTATTCTAGGAAGGGGCTCGGTGAGGATGCCATTAGTCTTTTTAAAGTAATGAAGAGATGGAATATAATTGCTAATAACTTGACCATCGTAAGTATACTCAGGGCTTGTGGTTCGGTTGTGGATTTACTTATGGGCAAGGAAGTCCATGCACAACTAGTTAAAAATCTATCCAAACGAATATGTACATAGGAAGCACTTTAGTATGGTTCTATTGTAAATGTGGTGAGTACGATATTGCCTCCAAAGTCCTCCAACAGATGCCACTTAGGGATGTTGTCTCATGGACTGCCATGATTTCTGGCAGTGCAAGCTTAGGGCATGAATTTGAGGCGCTTGATTTTTTGAAGGAAATGATGGAGGAAGGTGTAGAACCCAACTCTTTTACCTACTCTTCAGCTTTAAAAGCATGTGCTAACCTTGGAGCTGTTACGAAAGGGAAGTTAATTCACTCCTTTGCAAATAAAACTCCCGCCTTCTCCAATGTGTTTGTGGGTAGTGCATTGATTCATATGTATGCCAAATGTGGTTTTGTATCAGAGTCTTTTCGTGTTTTTGACAGCATGCCAGAAAGGAATTTGGTTTCTTGGAAGACCATGATAATGGGTTATGCAAGGAATGGACTATGTCAAGAAGCTTTGCAGCTCTTGTATCGGATGGAAGCAGAAGGTTTTGAGGTGGATGATTACATCCTCGCTACTGTACTTGGTGCATGCGGAGATATTGAGTTGGATGAAGATCCTTCCTCGGAAATATTACTGGTGACTTAATTGTCTATGAAAGGCATGGAGTTGCAATTGTCAAAATTATTTCCTTTCACTGCCCGGTATGTATTTTATATGCAATGAACAAGGAGAAAGAACAGTTAAAAATATCACTATACTGTTCTCCGGTTAAGCCATGGCCTGGTCCACCTGTGTTAAGAAAGTTATCCAGTGGAAGAGCAGAAGTAAGATGGAAATTATCAACGCCAATGCAGTTTGTTCGAAGATTTTAAATGTCACGAGCTTTCTAGTCATGTTGAATTCCGAATATCACTCCAGTAACAGGTACGTATAGACATGTTGTTTATAAACACCATGTAAATCTCCTTCATATTCACAACTAAAACGATGATGTTTCTGAGACACTATCATCGGTTCATCCTCTCTCATCTGTATAGTCTTTTCTGTTAATTTTTGGTTTGCATAGGAAATTTTAAAATTTCCCACTCGATCAATTACGAAATTACGATGAAAAAAAGCAAGCATCCTTTGTGTGGAAGAGAGGAGCTTTAGTAACATGACTGCATTCAGATATCAATGTTTAGGAGCCCTCTTTTCGTGTAATCCCCACATGCAATGTCTGAGAAAGGGATAGGTAAGTTTCATGTAGCCATTGCACTCAACGTGTTTGACAAGATACAATCTACAAAGACTACAACTTTATTTGCTTGGTAATCCAATCCGTCGTGTAACTCAAAGAATACGTCTTAATAACTTGAAACATTTTCATGGATGTGTCATTGTCTTTGACAACTTCCACAACATGAAAGCTGTAAATTCCGATAAAAAAAAATCGAAAGTTGTACGGTAGTTTCAATCGAAAAATTATGTTGAATATTGAATGGTATATTATAGTTTATTCCATTAAGTTATGTCGAAACATATATACATGAAGTAATTTTAGATATGAAATGATATATTTATGATCAATACGATGTATTAATTGATATTTAGGATCTTAATGTTTGAAATATATTTTGTTATTTTTTTATGTACACAATTGATAGGGAAAAGAAACATAAAATATAATCTGCCCACACAAATAGGTGTAGCCTAGTACAATTGATGTTGTATCTGTAACATGTCAATTTCTCACTTTTCTTATCCCATACACCTCGTGCTGGAGAGAGTGAAGAAGGGACTTGGTTTCCTTTGACTCCCTCAAATTTGTTTACCTTAAGGGTGCGTTTGGTTCACGGAATGTAAGATTACCAGTGGGAATAAAGATTACCAGGGAATAGGATTACTGGGAATGTTACATTACTGTGTTTGGTTAATTTGGTAGGAATGTAAGATTACAGTGTTTGGTTGAAGGAATAAAAGATTACTGGAATGTATATTTTACCAAATTATCCTTGTTCTATATTTGGTTTTTTAACAAGTGAAATTCTAAATATTTAAATAAAATTTATTTATATAAAATTCTATTTTTTGATAATATATTACTCAAGTATTTAAATATATCATGTATTATTTTAATTTTAATTAATATTAAATTTTACATAATTTATGTAAAAATATATTAAAATTTTATATCAACATTTAACTAAATGTTTATATTATGGAAATTCTTCATAGATATTCATAATAATAAAAAGATGTAAATTATTTTTGTTATCTAAGATATAATATTTATTATATCTTCTATATACAATAATTTATTTATTTATCTTTATATTATACTTAATTCTGCATACTTTATCATTATTATTTATCTCATTAATTTTATATTTCACCGTCATTCATCATTATCATATTCGAAAAGAAGATGGGTCTGTCGGAAGATGTAAGTCCTTGATATTCAATCATTATTTAAAATTAGTATTCATTGGAGCTAGAATTTAATTAACTTAAACCAATTTAGTTAAAATGGCAATCATGTTATATTGTCTTCTTTGACATGAGAAGATTGAAGCGAGTTTTCTGCTTTAAAGTAAAGTTTCATGAATTAGCAGTAGTGATGATGACAAGATTTCATCTTTAGAGGTGCTCCTCAAATTTTCTTGTGTCGACATTTCTGAAGACAAAAGTGTTCTTTCATAGAATTAATTGTCTCAATGTAATGGTTATGCAAAGCTGGTAAGTAATAAAAAGATAACTTATTTATCATAGATAGAGTTAAAACTTCATATTGAAACAATGTTTGTTTCCGTAATAGTTATTAGTAAAATTGTGCTTGAAATTACTAGTGGAAAAAGGTAAAAAAAAATGTTGCTAGTGCTGTAAAAACATAAATCTGCAATCTTGAAATAGATGCTGGAATGTGACCTATAAACTTGTTGCTACTTAAGATTAGTAAAATTGTGCTTGAAATAGATGCTGAGATCAAAAGACTGCAAATGAATAAGAGTTTTGAAAGTAGAAGGGATATGATCTAAGAAATTTCTCCCTAAATTCACCATCACAAGGTTTCTCAAATTCCCTAAGCTTGGAGGAATTGCCCCCTTTAAATGATTACCAACCAATGAGAGTGTCTGGAGATGGGATAACCGGCCTAAACTTAAAAGAAGTTTAACAGATTACTTGTTGTTGTTATCATTATTACTATTATTTACATTCATTCCCACATCATATACACTTTCACAAATTACCAACATATGTATTCTACTAGCAACCCAATTTCTCAATTAAATTCAACACACACATATCTATACATGACAGAAAGAACACAACTAATTTGCAAATCCTTCTGAATTCACAATATATCGACTGTAATTCAAGGCAAAAATTTAGCTAGAAATCTAATCCTAACAAATGCCTTTCTATTCTACAAATTCCAGACCGTTGATCCAAAGGAAAAACATATGCAAATCAATCTTTATCTCAATAAAAAAAACCTCAAAAACAATATTTTAAGGTCATCGCTCAAGATTATGTACGACAAACCTAAAAAAATAAAATATAAAGCAAAGATTA